ATACAGAGAGATAAATGGAACAAGTCAAGGGTAAATAAGATGGTCCAATATGAGTCTCTGGATGGGCAGGGAAGGGAAAGGAGCCAGCAAGGGTCTGGCCAACTGGCAGAAAACAGAGATCAAGGGAGTGGATCTGTGTCTGTGAGTTGATGTTATAGGTGTGAGGGCAGGGGAGGCCTGCCAGGCCTGGAAGGCAGGTGCTGGGATCAGAGCAGGATACTGGATTTCAAACATGGAAGACAGTACTGGGTTGTAGTTAAAATCAGGATTTTTAATTTGGGACCCAGAGAGTCCCATGTTACAATCCTGGCTCTGCCACTTCATTAAATGTGTCACTCAGGGAATTGACTTCACCTTCCTGAGTGTGTATCCTCATCTTTGAAATGAGGATACTAATACCAACTCTGCAGGTTTTTGTGAGGGGTAAATATGTAAGCCGTCTGGCACAGTGTCTGGCATGTGGTACAAGTGCTCAGTAAGTATTCACTATGTAAGCTGCACTTGCGGGTAATGACTAAGTCCAAGGTGTGGTCATGGGAGTGGGTGGCTAGAGTGGGATGAAGGTCACCAAGGATGAGATGGAAAGAGACCAAGAGGCTAGATAATTGGAAGGATGGATCATCATGGAGGTTAAGTATCACAGGAGGACAGCAGGGACTAGGGTGGAGAGGAAGTCTGTGGGGATGTGCTAGAATCTTCAGGAATGAGGGGAAGTGACCAAGGAGTCAACAGATATCACTGAAGAGGTGGAAGAGAGGGTGGCAGAACATGAGGACCTAAGACTCTAGGGAGCCCAGTTTTGTGAAGCCAGACTAGAGTCGGTGTCTGCCTCATCTGAGTTCCCACTCCCCCTTGTATGTTCCTTTGAGATGTCCCCAGTGATCACATCCCTCACTAAGCCAGAGCATGTTAAGAGAGGGACTGGATCTGACCCATCCTCTAGTAGCTAGAAGTATGCATTGGTAAGTGATTGTTGAATGATTTGGGGGGATGAGGGAAGGAGAAAAGTCATGGGTG